TGTCTTAAACCTTCAGCTGAACTGTTGCTTAATGTGTTCATTTAGCAGTGCTGGGATTGAACCTGGAGTCTTGGGCATGCTTGGCAAGTGTCCCACCAGGCTAATGGCTACCTGTTCTAGAGGTTTCCCATCATTAAGTCAACTCTGTATCCCACATCATATCAGGGCCACTTGTCTGTTTTCCCTCTTTCCTTCAAGAGCTCTTACTATGCGGCCTTGGCTGTCCTAGAACACACTATGTAGACTGGTGTGGTTATCATCCTGCCCCAGCCTCCTCTCAGTGCTGGTGACTAAGATTATAAGTGTGCTAAAGTTACAGGCAGGACAGCCACACCTGGGTAGCTTTGCACTTTCATTTTCTATCCATCTCTCGGGGTCTCATGTACATAGCTGAGGGTGATCTTGAACTTCTGACCCTCCTGTCTCACCTCCCAAGTACTGGGATATAGGTGTACACTACATGCCAGGTTTCATCACTTTTCAATAACCAATTATTTTTCTTTTTACTTCCTACTGTTTACCAGCCTTCATCAGATGCAAACTCTAGGAGTGTGGGGACCTTGTGAGTTTTATTTGATGTGGGGGTTTTTCCTGGGTTTGACAGTGTTCCGTTTAGCCCTTACTTCATTAAGTGTTGTTTACAAACAAACCCGCTCTCAGAGGGCCAGAGGACAGGTCTGAAGAAGTCTCACTGGAAGAACACGGCGGCAGAGATCTGGGCGCACACCAGGGGACAGTGAAGACAATTTCAGGCCAAAGGACAGAAACGCAGTGGATATGGACCTGTTTTTCTCCTTCCAGATCTTTCAGGTGCCTGTCTCCTCACCACTCCCAGTAGCCTCCAGACAACCTTTCCCAACCCCACACAGCCTGTCCTCCACCTCATGCCCGGTCCTCACCTCCAGGCCCTGTGAGTTGGGGGTGTAGTTGGAGGTGCAGTTGCTGAGTCCCGTCACCCTGGTCACATAGAGGAGCTGCTGGCCTTCCAGAGCCTGAGGACAGCTGAGCTCTAGCATGCCCAGGCCGATGGAGCTGGGGCCCTGGTTGATGAGCTGAAAGGGAATAACACAACTCTCAGAACTGAAGGCTGGCTGGGTACGCAGGCCTGGTCACCACCCACACACACTGCATTGGGGCTCCTGTCTGAGCACTGAAGGAACACCCAAGGGCAGCTACAAAATCCATGTCAGCCATCACTTTTGAGACAAGGTCTCGCTCTGGACCCAGGTTGGCCTGGAACTTATTGTATAGATCGTGCTGGCCCAGAACTCACAGCAATCCTCCTCATGTGACCCTCCTTTGTAAGTCAATGGACTGGCGTGTTCCTCTTTTGGCTATCTCTCAATGACCCTCAGGACTCTTCTCCCCCACTAACCCAGGTCCTAGCTACTATGTCTTATACTGGCTCCTCTCTTCTCCCTCATGTGGCTTGACCCCTGGCTTGTCTCCCAACCCTCCTTACCTCATAGACGTGGTGGACGGCAGGGCCCAAGTCTCCCTCCTTCTGAGGCTGGTCTTCGGGATACCAGTCGCTGACTGGGAAGAGCACAGCTTCAGGCTTGGAGACACTGAGGAGGAGGAGGAGGATGGTTTAGAGCAGGCAAGGGGAATCCAAGTGTCTTTCCCTAGAAGTCCATCACCAGTCCGTCTAAAGGCCCCGTTCCGCTTGGGCACTGACCCATTAAGGGAGACCTGGGCTTGAGCCTCCACGGAGAGCCGGAAGGAGACCATGTTGCTTTGCGAGTTGTTCAGGTTCTTGCTGTGGGATGGAGACAAGGGTGGAGCAGTCTGACGGGAACCCCGGGCCCAGGCTTTCCCACTCGCCCCTATTTTACTCTCGGCTCAGTCCCAGCACGGGTGTGGTCACTCCCTACCTGAGGATCTGGAAGTCAAACTGGATGTTTTCCTTAGTGTCTTGAAGATGAGGAACAGTGAACCGAAGGCCACCCCAGATCTGCGGAACAGGGAGGAGAAAGGGACTGTCTGATGTGGCGGGTAGTCGGGGCGCCCTATCCTGTGCTCTCTCTCTCTCCCAGCCCCCCTTTCCACCCCTGACTTACACCAGTGCCTGCCTCTCTCCCAGCCACCACCTACCCCCCCCCGTTTCCACCCCTGACTTACACTAGTGCCTGCCTCTCTCCCAGCCCTGTTTCCACCCCTGACTTACACTAGTGCCTGCCTTCATGGGGTTGCCCAGGTCACACACCAGCTGCCGGCTCTGGTTCACAGCAAAGTAGTCACAGCTCAGGCTGGAGAAGTTCTGGGGACAGGTGGGCACAGGCCGGTCAGGCTCTGGCACCCCTCCGGAGGGGGTCACCACTGCAGCCCCACTTTAGAGTCCCTTCTCACCCCTGGGTGTCTGACAAGTCCTGAGTACTCAGCCTCCAGAGGGGCTGTGACCCGAAGCTCCGCCTCATAGGCGCCACCCTCACCCAAATTTTGGGCATGGAACGTCAGGTTCAGTGAGTTCTTATCACCCAGGTACACATGCTTCTTCTCCCTGGAGGGGACACAGGGAAAGGACACTGAGGAACGAACCCACAAGGCAACGGGGCATGGTAGCAGCACAGTAGGACTAGCCCTGCTGACGGGGCCTAGCTCTGGCAAGCATAAGTCGAGGTGCCACATGCGCAGTACTGAGCTTCATCTGTCCAGAGCCGGAGCCACGAATGCTTCCCATAGACAAAGCTGAAACCCAGAGACGCTTGCAGACCTCACAGCTACGGTGTCCCTGGCTTGTCACGTGACAGCCCCGCTCACCCATACACATCCAGCTGCAGGTCAGGCACACAGATGTTGTCTTCGCCGCAGTCCAGCAAGATCTGGGCCTGGGGAGCAGGGCAGCTTTGAGAGGAGTCCTACCACCCCTTTCCCAGGGCCCTGCCTCAGGTGCCAGGGCTGTCCTCCCGAGTTCCTTCCTTACCTTGTCCTCTATCCGACTCTTGCTCTGGTAGTGTAGGACTGGCCGGAGGCCATGGCTGTCCATGGGGGCTTTGGGGTCCAAGGAGAAGTTGAGGGCAATGTGAATCGGTGAGAGTTTGTCTCGGAATTCTGACTCATTCTGGGATGGGAGAGCGTGCACAAGATGAGGGAGGGACTCGGGCTCAGGGCCCTGCTTCTTGGCCTCATTTCTCTTTTTATCTGCTCAGGACCCAAATCTGACAATCCCCAGTGCTCTGTGGGTCTAGGCACCCGATGTCTGGATCTTCTGACAGAAGGACTTCTTTAGCCTCTCAAGAACCCAATGCCCGTCAGGGGGAACCTCACAGAGACAGACAGACAGGCAGACAGACAGACAGACGGACAGGGATACACACACACTGCCGAAATCCTTTGTTCTATGTGGCCATCTGCCCAGGCCAGGCCACCCTCACCCTCAAGCCATACCCTGAGGTAGATCTTCATCTCCCTGCAGTCCTCCCGAGCCCCGTTCTGGATAAGCAGGGTCTGGGTAAGGGTGGCCTGCTTGGAGGCCAGGAACAGCGCCCGCCGAATCCCGCCCTTCTGCTTCTGCCAGTCCAGCTGGAGCTCCACCTCGAAGCCTGTGGCCAGGAGACATGGTGTGAGTCTGTCTCTCCTATCTGTGGGACTCATTCCTTCCACCCCACTCCATGGCCTGCACACTCAAGCAGTCTCCCTCACCTATGGAGTTGGGGACGTGCTTTCCGGAGGCATTGAGGCAGAAGCTAAGGTTGATGCTGGAGAAAGACGGAGGAGAAAGAGCTGAGTATGACTGGGACTGAACTCCCACCTGCCTCAGAAAGACCCAGACTAGGTCACCCCTGTTTGTTCCTTCCTGAGGCAGACATGGCACCCCACCCACTGACGGGTACAGATCTCTGTGGGTTCCCGGCTCGGCTCACCAGGACACAGGGTTTCCCTCCAGGCTGCAACTGCGCTCCTCTGGGTTGAACATGGCGGGGAAAATGGTAAGGGATGCGCTGGCAGATATGATAGGTCGACCCCTGCAGAGAGTGAATGTGTGGTAAATAAGGCTCCCCTGAGGGCTGGGCACCCAGCCCAGAACACCAATCCCTGTGTACCGATGTTCCCAGTCTTAGTTCTAAAGGGGCATTTCTAGTTGCCCAGGCTGCCTCAGCCTCCCTGAGTTCATACCTGTACACCACAGCCTTGTCCACACCAAAGGACCCAACGATTAGATCTGCAAAAAGCCAAGGTACAACCCTTTACAGCAAGCCCCAAATCAGGATCCCTTCTTCCTAGGCTTTCTAGTTTCATGGCTCAAGGAGGCCTGAGCTAGGTGACTGCACCATCTGGTGGCAGCTGCTGAGAATTGCACCCTGGAGCTTACTGTCTAAGATGAAGGGGCAATGGCCACAACTTACCAGGGTATCCGTTGCCATCCAGATCTCGGCCTCCGCGAAGGGCGGAGCCAAAGAAGTCTGGAGTATGGCCAGCTGCCCACAGGGGCTGCAAAACCTGTGAAGGCTTAGTGCTCAGCCCTCCTGGGCCACCAGGGAATATAAACACGACTCCCTGCTGAGTCTCCCCACCAAATGGAGCCCCAATGGCAACATCTGCAAGATATAACACACATTTGTCATCAAGTTAGGAGGTCAGGGTGGAAATCCCTACCACAAAACCTCCAGATACCATCCCCCTCCCCTCACATCTACCTGTCAATTCCTGTTCTAAATCTCTTTAAACCCCAATGTGCTTGGAAACTCAAGAGGATGTGGGTAGTTAGTTTAGTCGACAGAAACCCTCCCCCTAAATTCCTGACCAACCAGCCCCCGCTCAAACCTCAGCCCCCTGGGCCATGATGCTTACTTACCATTGTAGCCATCTTGGTCCAGGTCCCCCAGGGGTGTCAAGGAGCTTCCAAACCTGCCAAACTCATCTTGGCCAGTGAGGGTAAGTGTGGGTGTGGGCTCTATGCCAGCTGGGTGTTGCAGGTAGATGTAAACCCTGCCCACCTCCTGAGGCCTCCCATCAGCTGTCCGCTCCATGAGCAGAGGCGCCCCTACCAGCAGGTCATCTAGCCTGCAGAAGACGGCAGAACGACGCATCTTGATAACCTTGTCTTGTCAGTTTACTGCCCCAGGAGACCCCAGGCTCTCTGGACCCCCAGGCCCCCTTCCTAAGCATTCTGCCCTCTCCTTGCCTTGACCGAGGAGACGGAGAATCCAGGAGCACACTGCCTGCCCTGTCCCAACCCCACTCTTCCTGCCCAGGTCTGGAAGACGCACCCCTTCCCATCACTCACCCGTCTCCATTGGTGTCAGTGGCAGCCACAGCATAGCCAAAGTAGGAGGCCATCTGTGGGGACAAAGGACAGCGGGAGGTCAGAACGAGGTGCAGTTGGTAAACAGCACCGAGGGGACCTGTGAGAGGAAGCTCAGTGGTTCTAGAGAAAGCGGGAAGTTGGACATTATTGGTCCAGGGCTGCGGCTTAGTTGGCAAGAGGGCCAACCTGCAGTAAGCGAGGATGTCCTCACCTGCTCTCCTGAGACATTGTAGAGGGAGTGGATGTCTGAGCCGTTAAGGATGGTGACCTGAAGATGAAGAGAAAGGCCTATTGGTCCTGGATGCCCATGGTCGAAGATCGGGACACATGGGACAGGCATTCTTCTGGGGCACCTAAGCACTCCTCTGACCCCTTCCCTACCTGCCCTCCCCACACCTCCAGGGTTTCTCTGTCCCCTTGCTGTTTTGCCTTCTTCCTTCGTCTTTCTTAAGGATTTTCATCTCTACCCAGTAGATTCTGGTGACTAAAATATAAGATCAGTGGGACTACCAGATTTCTCACTACACTGGGAGCATGGTCTTGGTTTTTTGCTTCTCAGAGACTAAAGAAGAGCTTGGCAAGAACAGGTGAGCAATAGTTTTGTTTTTTGTTTTTGTTTTTTTAAGACAGGGTTTCTCTGTGTAGTTTTGGAGGCTGTCCTGGCACTCGCTCTGTAGACCAGGCTGGCCTCGAACTCACAGAGATCCGCCTGCCTCTGCCTCCCGAGTGCTGGGATTAAAGGCGTGCGCCACCAACGCCCGGCCAGGTGAGCAATAGTTAATGCTCACTCTACACTGGGGTTTCAAAACCACCAGTGTCTGCAAGTCTCTCGCATCTCCCTGTTTCCTCTTAGCCCTTGGCCTAGCAGACCTCCAAGTCTCCTGGGTCCTCTTTCTGCCCCGCTGCTCTGCGGAGACGTGGCGTGAGCTTTCCCAGGACTGATGGGCATCCAGCCTCTGTGCCTTGGGTTCCTCCTACTGGCACTGAAGCCAGAGAGCAGACGGAGGGCTGTTACTGCAGCCACTGCCAGTCTGTCTCTTGGCTGGCCCTCTAAGCTCCGGTGTCTGGCCCCACTGACTGCTTGTTCAATCTTCCCTTACTCTTCTCACCCTCTTTTTGCTTGTGAGGCGACAAACTAGTTCCAGTTTCCTATGCTTCGTCTTCTTCACGCCTGTGCCTCCCTCTTGCCCCATCTGTGTGGAGCCCTCACAGAACCTTCTCTGATGCACCCTCTCTGGAAAGAGGTCACCGCTTTCCTGAAGTGTGTTAGGCTACCTCAATTGCTCTTCAGGAACTTCCAATTCAGAAAGAGTGTGGAATTGGGACTAGTTGATATTAAATATTTATCCAGCTGCCCCTAAGCAACGTAATGGTCTTAGGACCACTGCTTGTGTGCAAGCTGCCAAGGCTGTTCTCCACCCCACAGGGCTACAGTGGGGAAGACCATCACGAGTGGACAGTGCCTAGGAAGGACACAGAGGCCTAAGAGCAGTGACTCCGTCAAGATGAAGCTGTGTGTCTCACCCGCATACTTGTCTCATCTCTCACCTCGCCTTAATAAATGGTATTAACCTAACAGCCGTGTGTGGCCCTCATCTGCCCGGGCTCTTGTCATGGTCTAATGATAGCAGCTGGCTGTTGTACACCACCTAACCATTCACAAGTGCTGCCATCCTTTACAAGTGCCTGGTGAGGTCAGAACTATTATTACCCCATTGTACATGGAAGAAGCAGCTTAGAGAGGTTAAGCAGGGGACAGTGTAGCAATAAAAGGACACATGAACTTATCCAGAATCAGTGCCAGAATCTGAACCCATGTCTGACTTCACTTCCTTTCCTCGAACTAGACTTCTGAGATCTTGTCTGTTCCCCAAAGACTGTGTCCTGATCTCTTTTTTGGAGGCCACACATGGCTCTGCACTTAGCCAGCCAGGGTGAGAGGCAGGAGATGGTGGGCAGGGTCTTACATAGCCATAGGTGAGGTTCCCCTTGGGCACACCAGCAACAAAGTCTGCAAAGAGAAGAGATACTGGTGGGCTGAGGGAAGGACAGGGTAGACCCAGAACACTGTTTGGGCCCCCACCAGGCCCCCTTTTGGCCCAGCCTGGAGACTCACCTTCTGTGTCATCCCCACTGAATTCGCCCACAGCCACAGAGTATCCTGGGGGACAGAGTGGGTGGGTGTTAGCATTGCCTCCTTTGGGACCCCCACGCCCTTCTTAGTCAGCCTGTACACAAGCGTGGCAGGAGATGGCGGCACTGAGTGTGAGAAGCCGGGGAGGGCTGAGTGAGGAGAGACGCCCCCTGACTTCCCCTCCCATCCTCTCCCCATCTGCTTGCCTACCCAAGTAGCTGTCATCATATATGGAGCTGGCCTGGCGGGTCTGCAGCTGCCCCTGTACCGGGTTGATGAGGTATTCTGGGTAATAGGACTCCGAGATCTGTTCCTGAGTGGCAGACAGGATCTGGCCTGGAAGGGGAGCAGGGTGATGGACCGGGGGGAGGTATCGGGTGCTTTGGGGAGGATTTCAGAAGTTTGGATAAAGGAAAGGGATTATGTGGAGGGTGATGGACTAGAACGAGAGTCGGGAGGTAGATGTGAACCTGGGGTGTTGAGGGGTGGAGAAGGGAAGATTAGTGAGTTCAGACCGAGAATGGGGAAAGGGTGTGGCGCCAAGGCCTGAAGAGCAGAGGGAGGGCTTACCTTGCCAGAAGTAGCTCCCAGGTCCACCCAGGACTACATGGCCAGTCTGTGGGGAGGGGAGGGGAGGAGGGGATGAGTGCGCCATTTGGTGCTGACCCTGGACCCTCACTCACTGCCCTCCCTCCCCGGGCACCTCTCACCTTGGTGAACTCAGCACTGAAGCCCCCTTGGCAGTAACCCTGCCCTGCTGCGCTGCCAAAATCTGTGAGGGAAGAAGACAGTGAGATGAACTAGCTCCGCACGGAGGGGCTGACAGGGAGGAGGAGAGAAGCAGGAGCCGAAAAGGAGACCAGAGAAGTCTCCTGAGCAGTCTTGAAAATGTACATTTTGATGCTTGGCAGCCACGAGGAGAAAGCCCTTGAGCACCTGCGACCCTCTCATGAAGAAGGCACAGAGGTTCATGCCACTCTGGCCCCTACCTGAGCGGCAAGGCGCGTACTCCAGAATCCGGGTGAAGTTGTCTGTGGAGAGGTAGCAGGTGCCCACGGGGTCGTTCTGTGGCTCCTTTTCTGTGCGCCAGCTGTACAGTGGGGCGCATGCCTGGTAGGGGTGTGGGGGTGGGGTTAGCCTAATAACAACTCCCCAACCAGGCCTGGCTTTCTCTGCCACCGTTCAACTCTTAGCCACCATACCACTGGTCCCACTGGTCCCTCACCAAAATGGAGGAGCCATGGGCTCGAACTGTTGCCCCGAACCACTGCAAGGACTTGTACTCCACAGGCTCCTCTCCCTTGGCACTGGACAGTGAGGACTCGAGGATCCGGGGGCCTTGGGGAAGTTGAAAGGAGATTGTCATACTGGTTCTCAGAGAGGTGACCGCCTCAGCATTTCTAAACCCTGAGCATGGAGCGAATGCTCTCGAAGTGCTGGCGGAATATCCTCAGCTCCCTCAGGTCCATCTGCCTGAGGGCTGAACTCCCCAGGGCAGCAGCTGAATCACACCATGGCTGCTGTGCACTATCACTTAGCTTAGGAAAAGAACCGTCTTCAAGCCTCCTCTGTCTTTTGTGTTATGGCCCTGGCCTCCCAGAGTTGTGGGTGATTCAGTGGAAATGAGAGCCACATGTTTCTGAATCATGCCCGCCCTCCTTGGGCTGGGCTGGGAACGTGGAGTGAGTGCCATTGGGAGCCCACAGCTAGGAATCGGAGCACCAGGATGACTGCTGGGAGAGCATGTTTGCTCTGGCTGCACCCCTGCAGCAGGAATCCCAAGACCCATCTCCAAGCTGTAGGCCCACCCACCGGCTTACTCTAGGATCCTCCCTGAACTCTTCCAGCCCTACCTTTGCTGTCGAATTGAATGGTAGTGCACTGGGCCGGGCTGGTGTCCCAGGGACACAGGTAGACAGCACCACCCTGCAGTACCCCTGGCTGGCTGGTGTTAGCCTTGGGTGCTCCCACCAGCACACTGACCCTGTGAAGGGGAAAGGAGACGTGGATTAGGAGGGGGTCCTATTTCCAGGTCAGTCTCGGGTGGCAGGATGCACCCAGACCATTAGGCCAAAAGTGGGGGTGGGGTAGATGTCCCTTGGCTTGTATTTATATCTCAGAAGATGCCACAGATGCCAGAGGCAGGGGCTGGAGTCAGGCATTCCCCATGTGCTGCTGTCACTAACTCAGCCCCTCCCCTCCCCCCCACTCTCCCACCTTCTGCTACCAGAGACAAGGAACCAGAGTCAGTTCCCAGGAAGGGAACAAGGGTCAGAGGGTCCAACTCCAGCCTCTGCATCTCTTCTGTCTACCTGCCGAGGTTAGATGCCCAGCCCAAATGAGGCTGTGGCCCAGAGGCTGAGGGTTTGCTTGGCACATGCAAGGCCCTTAGCACCCGGGAGAAAAGCAAAACAAATAAACAAACAAAAATAGTACCACATGCAACATATAGCCTTTGGTTGAAAGTGAATTAAAAATATATATTAGTGGGGACAATCTAGCCCCAGAACCCCAGGTTCCTCTCTTCCCAAGCCAAATTTTCTCCCTGAGCTGGAACCAGGTAACCAGCCACTTAGTCTTGGGGCATGTTGGAGGAAAGGGTGAGTGTAGGAATTCAGGCAGAAGGAGGGAGGAGATGGAGCCCTGTGAAAAGAGGCTGTTTCCTGGGCCAGGCTGGCCCACCCTGCACCCTGCCACCCAGGGTGGATCTCACCTTCTTAGCTGGGGCTCTGCCTCACCCGTCCCTCTTTACCACAAAGCAACCCCAGAGGATTGAATCCAAGTCCTGTCCTGCTGGATCCTCTTCCTGGACACACATGCCGGAGAAGGGGTCCTCCACCAACGGATGGCTCCTGGCATTTGCCCTCTACCAGCCTTGGGCCCTTGTCTCTGGGGTCTCCACACAGCTCTCCTCCACCAGCCCTGGCGCCTCGCCTCCAGGTCCTCGGCACAGCCACAGTCCTGTTCTCTCTTGGCGCTTTCCTCAGGGTCTCCTGAGAGGACTGCATCTGGCAGCCTCGGCAGCTTTCCCTGGCATCCCCAGCTCTGGGCCAGTGTCACGGCCAGCCTTGGCCTCTGCTCTCCTCCCCTGCTGCCATCGGCATTGCTCCTCAACCTCTCTGCTCGACTGTCCCCAGCACGGCTTGCCCTCTTGATTTAGATTCCTGGGTCTCCTCCTTTTTTAAAAATTATGTATTCATTTAATTTGTATGGATATTCTGCCTGAATGTCTATGTGCCATGTGGGTACTTGGCTCCAGAGGAGGTCAGAAGAAGGCATTGGATCCCCTGGTTCTGGCATTATGAGTAGTCATGAGTTGCCATGTGGGTGCTGGGAATTGAGTCCTGGTCCTCTGGAAGAGCAGCCAGTGCTCTTAACTGCTGAGCCATTCCTTTCTTCTTTTTCTTTGATATCAGATCTTAGGTCTCTGCACCCTTTCAGGTTTCAACAGTCCCAATAGGCACCCCCTTTTCTTGCAGTATCACAGCCTTTATCACTAGGATTGTGGGCCCAAGAAGGGACTTAGCAGAGGCCACAAAGGCAGGCGTGTCTTCCAATAGGCTCACAGATCTGAGGGGGGAGGGTCAGGGTCTAAGAGGAGCAAGCCATGGGAGCAGCAGGGAAGGCAGTCCCAGTGGGGCATGGAAGGAGGGTAAGGGGCCAGGTGAGAATAAAGACAGCAGGGTCCAGAGGAGCAAAAGGGAGGACAGCAGAAGGTGCCTCAAGTTATAGAGTGGAGAGGGGAGGTGCCAGCTTCAGTTACCCTGGGGACAGGAAATGTTTACAGCCTGTGGCTTCCTGTCAGTTTCCAACCTCGAATTTCTCCATTTGTCTCACACCCACTGGGTCTCACCTCTCTCTCACTCAGGCATTAAAACCAATTAGAGGTTTGAGCGGCCATTCCAAAGACCCAGTGACCTTCCTCAGGTAAGAATGCCTGAAGCTGACCACATGGAGAAGCTGCAACTCCAGGGCTGGAAGAGGAGAGAAGGATGTGGTCCTTCTACAGCTAGAGCTGGCACAGAGAATTTAGCCTCTGCCTCTTGCTCCAAAAAAATAGTGAGGGTCTCTAGTGTGGTGGCCCACACGCCTTTAATCCCAGCACTCCAAAGGCAGAGGCAGGTGGATCTGGATCTCGGAGTTCCAGGCTAGCCTGGTCTACAGAGTGAGCTCCAAGATAGCCAGAGCTGCACAGGGAAGCCCTGTCTCAAAAAACCAAACCGAAACAATAACATAAACAGCGAGGGCACAGCATGGGACCCAGGCAGCTGCACAAGTTGCTGGGGCTCTGGTTCTTGCCCTAGCTCAGAATGGGTTTGGGTTTCCTCTCTTTCTCTGCTTCTGTCAAGGTCCCCAGATTTCTCCCATACCACCTGCATTTGTGGAGGGATTGAGAAGGGAGTGGATAGTTCAGCAGCCCTTACAAAGCCCGTGAAGCCGAT